AATGGGCTTCATTCGCCTCTTCAAATGAGCTTATGTAGGTAATGTTCACTTAACTTTAATATTTACTGTTCCTGGTTCCCGATGTTATGTAACACTGTCTCTTTGTACAGCCTGTCTGTGTAAGCCTTAAAATCTCTGAATATCAAAAATATACCTTGGTAGCATTTTCTTGATTTTTTTCCCAAAAATTTTCTTTCCTTTTATTTTATTGTTTTCAAACAAATGGCACATGTAGAGTCAGCTAGAGAACATGAGTTTGTCAGTATGGCTTAGCAGTCCGACAAACACATTTAATGTGTCTGCTCACCAAAGCTGCCCTTAAACACACTTTCAAAGAACAGTTGTTAACCATTAATTCCAGGCCAACTTGAGTCTCACAATCTAAAAAGAAAACAAGGCAAGTGTAATGGACTTACCATGTAGATATGAATGGACGATACCTCAGTGTTGGGGGCTGGAGGATGGGTTGAAACACTGAAAGCCTAAAAAAAATTAATTAATTAATTAATGGAAAATGTGGGTTTTTTTTTTTTTTTTTAGTAGATGTGCTGCGGAAGCGAGCACAAGGGGAGTTTGTTTTTTTTTTTTTCTTTAAATCTCAGTGCACTGAGACACAAATGTGGAGGCAGGAAGTCCAGTGTTCAGATAAGCAAGTCCTGTTGCAAGCCTGGCAAACATAGAACTGAAAGGTCGTTTCCCTTTGTCCTGGAGGGCACCTCCTAGTGGCAGCACCTGCTGCAATGAACAGAGAGAGCTTATGAAATATTTTTCTGGATTTCGCCTAATTAGATTTCTGTTAGTAGCCTTTCTTTCGACGTTGAATAAGGGATGAGAGTTCTGTGGAAGGCGTGATGATGCATGTCCTCTCTAACTGGATCTCGTCGTTAATTTGCTAGTCGGGCAACTTGAGCAGAGATCAGCTTCCTGCACTGTAAATAGGCTACCAGTGCCTGTTTGGCCAAGTTGTTTTCTTTCTCTGGATTTCAGGTCCTTTATTCATACATTAGGCACTCAGGGACCCTTAAGATTTCTGTGATCCCATTTTATTTCTAAAAGAAATCAAAATTTTTAAAATCAATTTAAATTTATGTCTGATTTCAAACATTTTAGAGAAAGATAATTTTCTGGTTTAGAAGAGACTCAAACTTTTCCATAGGAATACAAGATAAGAGTTTAGGTTGACAAATAGTGTCACAATTAAAAAAAAATGTTCTGAAGACTAGAGGAGGAATAAAATGACAACTTTGTCACCACTTGAGATCTTGCTGAAGTTATAGGCGCCAGCGCAAATAAAGAACTTTATTTAGAGACAATGTACTAATATGGGTGTGATCTTCCAAATCTAGAAAACTCTGCCAGTCTACTTTGAGTTCTTCAATAATTGGAGACAGAGACAATCTCAGTTAGTGTCTGTTACAATAATGTTGCCATTACATGAATGGTTTCTGAAGGTGTGGATACCTGGGCCCTGGGAGCCGAATGTCTACAGAGAAAGATGACTAGAATCTGGACAGCCCTTTCAAAACCCTACAGGAAGGGAAATATTGGGAAAGAGAAGTTACTGAGTGGACAGTGAGAAAATAGTAAAGTTAGGTATATTTGAAGCCTAGATCCATATAAAAAAAATTGAGAATTTTTTAATATAGTTATTTAAAGATTTATTTATTTATACAAGAACTGGGGTACAGGCCAGATGTATGCGAGGGTGAGAGGATTCACAAGAGACAGAGTGGGGAACAGAACAGGCAGACTGACGGAATACACTGCTGAGGGGAGCAGCAGGCGAGACAGGAGAGGTCTGCTGCACCATGTGGGACCCTCGCCTGCCGGCCGGGATCAAACCAGCACTACGGAGGCTGCAGACAGCTTCACAGCGCGGTGCTCAACTTCCTGCACCTCCCGGGGAGGCCCAAAATTAGAAAATTTTTGAAAAGAAGAAAAGTGAGCGTTTTTATCCCATAGGGCAGAAATTTTAGAGAAATTTTAGATTTGAACTTACAGAAGTTTAAATCTGAACTTACAAAAGTTGTTGCCTCAACAACAGCTAAGGTGTTATTGTGGCATTCTGTCTGGAAGGATTTTTTTTTATCTACTGCAAAGTTTTATGACATATTTATTGGCATAAAGAGTCCTTAGTTATTTCTTTGTGTTTCCCATCTTTAATTAAATGCATTCCAGTTACACAGAAAGCACATACTTATGATTCAAACATAGAATGGTAAATGTATGCCAAGAAAGGTCTTTATGGAAAACTGATATGTGAAATTTTGTAAGATCCTTATACCTGGCATTGTTTACTCCGTGATGCCTCCTCTTAATCCTGAGGCAAGCAAAAAAACTAGAATGACAGCTCTCTATCCCTAATGAGGGAAACAGAAAGACTAATGAAATACTTCGCTGGAAAACCAAATATTTTCTGTGGTTTCATTTAGCTAGATGTTGAAAGAGCTAAACCTTTGAAATAATACAAGGATTCTAAGATATTTTTGTCTATTCAAATAAAAGTGGAATTAATCTTAATTGCATAGGAACTCCTTGGGATTAAATAGTCCTTTCATTCACTCTGACAGTAAGTATTCTGACACTCTCCAACTAGTGCTGTTGCAGACTAGAATTCATCCTGTGAGAGAATCTGAAATGGGCCTAGAGGATGTAATCAGGGGTTATGAATGCCGAGCTTAGTCCTGGCTCTGTCCTTGCCAGTGGCCTTGAGTTCATATTTTTACTTCTTCAACCTACCCTGTCTTATATTTGGAATAAAGACATATTGACAAGACATTTACTGAATCCCCTTTCTACACAATTTGAATGAAAGAGGGCCTCCTTCTAAGATGTTTACAGTTTAATGAGCAGGTGAACAATAGTTAAACAAGAATTAAAGTTTTTTTTTTTTTAAGATTTATTTATTTATTTATTTATACAAGCACTGGGTACAGTCAGAGGTGCGGGAGGGTAAGAGAATTCACCAGAGCCAGAGCAGGGAACAGAACAGGCAGACTGATGAAGTACACTGCTGAGGGGAGCAGCGGGCGGCAGGAGAGGTCTGCGTACCGTGTGGGACCCTCGCCCGGCGGCTGTGGGCAACTTCGCAGCCCAGCGCTCAACTGCTGCGCCACCCGGGAGGCCCAAGAATTAAAGTTTTTAGTTTAGAGATTGCCCACGCATTGGCGAGGAGCAAGAACATTGGAGCGCTTGGCTAACTTTGTATCAGCTGTGTACACGTGCTGTGTATTCCACCTAGTCATGTTCTGAGGTCACACACATGCTAGTTTCCAGACTTCATCCTGTCACCACCCTCTCGTGGGTGGCACTCACCCATGTTTCCTCTTTCCACTCCTTCTTATGAGAGTGAAGTCATTCCAACCTCTCTCTTTCTTAGCCTCTAACATGCTTCTCAGTCCCCCCAGTGCTCTTGCTGTGTGACGGGCTCCTCTGGTCACCCCATACATGGAGACACAGTGAGCAATAAAGAAGACATTACATGACCACTGGCCCCCACTGGCAACTTGAAAATGGTGTTTTATACCCCACAGAAGTTCTATATTTAAAGTTTTTCTCTCAGTTTTGCTTAAATAAGTTCATTCCCTGACCAACAAAAACCCCATGGTTACCCCTGCAAGCTTTCCAAAGTCCTGTCATACACCCTTTAGAATTATCAATACTGAAAGCCTGAGATCAAAGATTTCACTGCAAGCCATTTTTGCCTTTTAAATGTAAAACAACACCTGCACAGAACAAAAGACCAATACCTTTAATGCATGCAAAAGTAAACATTGAAGTTGTGGTTTATTTTTTAATCGTTTCATGGAATTGAGCCAGATTTTACAAAATCTGCAGGATTTTCTTCTACTGTAATTTTTATGCTCCTGTTTTCTTTTGTCTGGTTTGTGAATAGCTAGATCTCATGGTTTTCCTTCAGCTTCTGCCACTATTAGCCCTTTGTATCATTCAGCGTGTCTTTGCATAAAGAAGGAAAGCCTCAATCTCTTTTAGAAACTTCACTTTTTTATATAGTATTTCGCCAATGGTCAGTTCAATGTAAATGGTAAATCAGTTTAACTGAACTGAATTCAACTATTGGGTACCTGTTGTACTCATCACTGGTCAGTTTGAAATATGTATGTGTTGCTGAAAGATTTATAACCTTCATTCCAGAGCTACTTCCTTCTACCATGAGTTTTATGAAATAGTTCGACCTAAGAGTGCTTCTTGAATTACAGAGCCTGGTAACCATGAAGGCCCCTGCCAAAAAGGTCCCTCACCTTCCACAAAGCCTGTCCCATGAGCCTACTGTGGGAGCTGCAATCAGACCACTGTAGCCCCACAGGCCTTCCCTGGGCACCTGGGTTGGAACACTCAGCTATCCAGGGTCCCCAAGGTCAAAATGAAAATTTGTACGACTATTCTCTTTCAATTCCCCCCCTCCATCTCTTCCTTGGAAAAGTGAAAATCCCCTTCCACTTGGCAGAACAAACCCCAAGTCACTGCTGCTCTTCATTCCAGGTGAGGTAGGAAGTAGATTTTAATAACCACACAGGGGAGGCACAGAGAAGAAAGGATTAGCTTGGAGATGCACTGAGTTCAGAGGAAGTGGTTAGATTGCAATGATTTGATCCCAGACACTGTGCAGGAATCTAGACTAGCTTAGTCTAGACTCAGTTCTGTTTCCCAATCAGAAGAAAACACTTTTTAGCCACACTGTTTTCCCATTTTATTTCACAGCAAACAATCATGGAGATGTACAGTTGTTACCTCCAAATGCTGAGGGCATACCTCTCTCTGCAAGACGCAGCCCTCAGCAGCTTGGTTGGTAGCGGTGTTCATTGTTTTTTGTTTTTTGATTTTGTTTTTTATCTGTGGAGGTAGATACCACTCTCCAGGCTTTGGCAAGTAAGGACTCCAAGGCTCAGCATGTGCGCTGAAACCAGATTGTAAAACTTATGTCACAAACCACCTCTTTTCACCTCTAAAAATCTCGTCACACTGGCAACTTCATCAAAAGGCTGTCCATCACTGTTCTGTCTTCTCTAAAATCCAGTCCAAGTATTCAGCAACTTTGGTGTAGACACCTGGGTGATCCCTGTGGCCACAGCCTTCACCCCAACTGGTGATGCCCACCAAGTGCCATATTCCTTTGTGTTTACAAGCTAAGGGACCACCTGAATCTCCCTGTCACAGAGGGTAGAAAAAGAATATGATAGAAAGTTAGGATAAATGTGCCTTTAAAGTTCTATAGTCACACAACACATCTAGTTTCTTAGAGTTTTTCCACTCGCTCAGCCTCATTAGCTGTTGGATGTGGTGAAAATGATGTAATTCAATAATATGGTTGCATTTTCTGTTTATTCCAACAAAGATATTTTGACATCATCATCCCTATGTCAAATCTAATGTCCTTATATTTTAGTACAGTTGTCTTACATACAATTCCCCCCCCCTTAAATACTGCATGTCTCTGCACAGACTGTGACATGTATGCAAACTATATGTAAATGACAGACATTCAATTTGGTAAAAGTTACAGAACTATCAGATCATTTGGTTCTGAATTTTTTTTAAAAAACACTAGAATGATGTACTCTTGGAAAATATACTTTTAAATGAATTTTCTCAGGTTGCTGTTGGAGTTTTCTCATAATTGTAAGCATTACCTTACAAGCATCTTTCCCGCCTTCTTTATAGCCAGCACAAATCATCTGCTTGGTTATTTCATAATCGCTGTATCTTTTCTGGCATTCTTCATTTGTTACCAAAGGAATACTTGCCTTCTGGAGGATATTTTGGATTTCACCTATGAAGTACCAATATATAACTTCAGAAGAAGAAAATATAATATGAAAACAAAACTATAGCCTTGAGGGATATGGGAAAGATAAACTTTTTATTAAGATCATTTTTTGGGTAAAATTAGTAACAGTGAGAAAGTAGAATTATACACACAGAGAAACAGGAGGGAGATTGGAGAAGGGAAGGAGAAAAGTAGGGAGGGAGGGAAGGAGAGAGAAAGAGAGATTGAGAAAGACAACTAGTGGCTTTTGATGCAATGTTGGGAAAACCCTGCACCAGAGATTTTGCTTTCGTATTCTCTGCCATCTTCTTGTCTCAATAGAAATTCCCTTTTATCACCTACCATCCCAATGCCTGGAAGTTCTTACATTTCAGGATTTGTTTTATATACTCAAAATGATAATTTTAAAGTATATGATGTTTGAAGAAAAAACCCAAACCTCTAGCAACACAGGAGTGTTTTGTTTTTTGTGTAACTGCAAGCGAGCATTTTCCATGAGGAAACTTTGTAAGTAATGACGTGTCCGGATTCCCCATGGACATATGTTGGGAAAGCTCTTTGTTTAGTTGGGCTAACTTTTAATTTCTTTCTGTGTCAAGGTATTGGTCAAAAACTTCAAAAATTTGAATTCATTGGATAAAAGACTAAATCAAGAGATCCTCAAGCTCTCTCCAATAACATGCAAATATTCCCTATAGTGTCTATCAGGAACATAATTTGGGGAAGAAAGAATGATCTGTTTCCTGGAAAATTGAAATACTCCATGTATCAATAAGCAAGGATTTTTAACAAGGCTCACCGAAAGAATTCACATGGTTTATAAACGCAGATAGAAAAAAAAAAATCTTTATTTTAACTAACCTCCAACTGAACCCTAACACTCCCTTCAGTTAGGAATAGAGGCAACACACACAGTATTAGCAGAACCTATGACTTCGCCATCAATTATATGTAAATTATTTTAATAACTATTGCAATTTCATTGGCTTCCTTTATAAACTCATGTATCTTACTGAATTATTTAAAGCATTGGTAGGGAAGTGGATCACTGGTTTCAGGAAGTGTTCATGGAAACATACAAAAACAAAACAAGACCATACTAAGTGCCATAAAGAGAGAAGGCAAGCCTGCCTATACTGGTCATTCATGTGGCGGGAGAACCACGTCCTGGAAAATAAGAACTGTAAATACTGAGGATAGGATGAATAGGCTGGTCTTGTTAGCCCCGTATGGGTGTGTCCTTTTTGTGAACTCAAACAAATGATCTTAATTATAAAGTAAGATGATTAAAAGGTCTTCTAACAAAATCTTCCAGGCTCACTTATCAAGAATCACTGGATAAATATTTGGGAATGAGTAGATTGAAAAGATCAAGACGGTATATGCAATTTTAGAGAAAAGTCAATTAAACTGATCTACTCAATGTACTTTGATACATAAGATTTGCTTTAGGAACAACATTTAAAATGTCACGTCATACCTTTTTCCTTTGTGAAACCCCATCCAGTTACCCAACAGTTGGTATAAATTGTATTTATGTTGTGTTTGGAAGGTAGGCATATTTGTTTTTGTAATTCTGAAAGATAATTTTTAAATTAGGGCTTGGTTAGACAAAATTACAGATGTAATTACAGACTTGAATAATGCATGCTTTACTTTACCCATATTCTCTTACAGTAGAGTAGCACCAAAAATAACATTTTTGCTTTCTGTTCAACTTCTTTTTAAAAAAATGTTGATTTGTTTGTTGAAGAACTGGAGTGCAGGCCAGAGGTGCCAGGGGTGAGAGGATTTACCAGAGACATAGTAGGGAGCAGAACAGATGGATCTACTGAAATATACTGCTGAGGGGAGCCGCAGTTGAGACAGAAGAGGTCTGCTGCACCAGATGTGGGTTAGCTCCCAGCTGGGGATTGAACCTAGGCCACAGAGGTGATAGCACTGAGACTTAACCCATAGGCTACCAGAGAGGCCCCTCTGTTCAAATTCTAAGGGCAATGGTTCAAGAAAATTTCTCACCATCAGTGTCATTCTTACATGATATTTTTGGTATTAATTTTTCTGGAGACATTCTAAAACTCAGAACCCAAATTTACTGTCAAAAGAATGTAAAAGTTCTTGTGTCTTACTCTGTGTGCTACACTTAATAGTAATGGCCAAATGTCTACACTATTCACATGCTATTTGTAAGTGCTTTAACTATTAAATTTAGTTACTAGACAAATCAAGGTGTGATTACCATGCCCACTTTACAGATGAGGAAATCAGAGATGCAAAGAGATGAAAGAACCTTGCCCAGAGTCACAGTCCTTAATGGACAAAAGGGAATCTATGACTATGGAGATCTTTACCTCCTATGGCAGTACCTCCAGCCAAGATGCCACCATCTTCCTAGAGCTTTCTATTGCATCACTCTCTACTCAATTTACTCCTGGAAATTACTATCTTATCCCACTTGCCATCATATATTCTTGGTATGTCTAAGCCCAAGGCCATGGAAATTCTGCTACTCTTGTCAAAGGAAAAGAACATTTCCCAGATGACAAAAACATTCTTATGTCTATTGTTTCAGTAATGTGGCACTTAGCATTCCTACCTGAAGGAACTAACTCAAGTTTCTTGCCCTGCAAGTAGAAGAAATTTTGTTTTTGTCAAGCATAGGTTTTAATTTCCTTGATGATTCTTGCCTTTTCCCCAATTCCACCAACCAGAAAAAGACAACCTTTCCACATTCAGATCGCTCAAACTGATATGAAATTTTTAAACAAAGCAATTCAGCTATACAGCTTCTTCTGAATGTGCTACGTACCAGTGTAATTCAAAGGTGCCTCAAGTTTTACTAAAGCAATATCATGACCACTTTCTGAGATTTTATAATCTTGGTGAATAATAATCTCTTTAATTTTTGAGACGGGTGTTTCCATTGTTATCGCCGACAGATTTGAAATGCCACTATAAATTCTCCAAATATCTGGGAAGGAAAGCCTAGGAGGGAAAAATAAAGGCCTTGAAACCAGGAAGACTGGCCTTTAGATTGTGATTTTTCCTTTCTCTTTCTCCCTCAAAAAAGAACTGGGAAGAAAATGCTGCCTATGACATATTTTTTCTTCTCTAAATTCTCCCCCTGGCACTTTGTCCTCACTAACAGCAGCAGTGCTGAATCTCTGAAGATTTAGATAAAAAAACCTGAAAATGTACATTTATATAATTATTTCATGTTTACTGTAAATACAAATATAAGAAAGTTGCTTTTTCATTTCTGAGAAAAGTTATGGTAAGGAGAAACTCTAGCATTTTATCACAGAAAAATCAGGTTCAGTTCACCACATCTGAAAGCAGTGGCTTCCATGAAATTCAAAACCGTCAGAAGATACACTGGGCCAAATTAGGGAGACTTCAGCTCATTTAAAATATATCTGGTGGGGAGACGAGGGAATACGGTGATGGACCATGGGTGCTTTGGTGGTGAGAGAACTATGGTGACCACACCTCAGGGGAGAAATCATGTATCATCCAAAAATTAACAATGTAAGAAAAAAGTACTATAAAAAAAAAAAAAAAAAGAAAAAAGTACTATATCTAAAAATGGATAAATAACAATAAATAACATAAAAATTATTTAAAAATAAATAAAAACAAAAAGGCAAGGGATAAGTTGCACCCTGCTCCCCAAACTCACCCATCAAAGCAGTGGGCAGCAGTCAGGACCCACTGCGGGCTGATGATGGAGCCTCCACACAGGTGCCTCTGAGCTGGCAGCCTAGCTTGCATGCTCACCTGCCAGGGCCACTCTCCCCATGCTGAGTCTGTTCCTCCAACGATGCGTGAGTTTGCATTTGTTGTGCAAACTAAAATGAGAATGTTGGGCAGTTGGAATTAGAGGGGAATCAGAGTCCTCTTCTGCCTAAGGGAACACACTACATAATCCCCGTTATGTATTTCACAACTTGGTACTAAGCAAGCTAGACAAACAAAAGCAATACAGACATCTGTTTACACCTCTGGAAAAGGAAAGTGTACTCACCAGAGCCATCTCCCCTTTTACACAACCTCAAAGAATAACCAGAGATCACTTGTGTCCTGGATGTAATCCTGGTAGGGGAACCATCCAAAGACAATCGCAAGGAACATTTACACCTACGTAAAATGACCAGAATAAAGATCAAACTTCACAGAAAAGGAAGGCTCAGGAAATTGTCTTGCCAACTATCTTCGAAAAGGAAAGTTTCACTAACTTCTCTCCTCTACAATCCTCTGGGAGTAAAGAATAAGTGAAAAATTGACAGCGGATCATCTTTGTACAAGTCTCTTGGCAAACATTCACTCCTTCCACGAAGGTCACATTCAGTTCTTCCCCTCCGAAATCAACTCTTGAGTGAGTTTTGAAATGGCAGGGCTCTGTGCCAATTATAAACATAAAAAAATGAAAACAGCAATAATTCACCATTACACAACTTCTTAGTGAATTTAGGATTACGTCAACACTATTATTTGTCAGCTGATCATAAAATTCATCACATTTTATGTCACATTATTATTGAATCAGATTACCAGGCAAAGTTTTTGAGCAGGTTAAAAGGCTGTATCCAGATATGGCATTTTCCTGAGGAGTGGGGGGACTCGGTGCCCCACTTTTCGAAGTCTTAAGGAAACAAATATTTCTATTAAAAAAAAAAGTGAGAGAGAAAGGTAAATACAAAAACACCTCTGTCAAAAAAAGCACTCCTGAAAATTCTATTCTTCTGAGAAATATTCTTCAAAGTAAATCAGGCTATAGTACTCTAATGAATTATAGAGATTAAATGTAAGTCAAGCCACATCTTATGGAAGAAAAATGATAGGCGCAGATAGCGTGAAAAGAAAATGGTAAAATTGCACCTTCTAATTGAAAAAAAGGAGGAAAGAGCATATTCTGGGGATTTATGTTCCTGTTGTGCTTATGTAACCACGGCCCCTTCCTTTGGCCTCATCTTGTATATGAAGGGTGGGTAATCTGAGGGTAGAAAGGTAGGAGCAGAACCTTGATCAGGATAAACATAGCTCTAGTTTCAGAAACAGAGTAGTTAGAGCCAACCAGCTTAAAGTATAAGCTGCTGGCAGGGATTTTACTTGAGGCTAATTCCAAGCATTAAGGTCCTTTGTTTCCCACAGCTGGTGTTCCTTGCTTCAATGCTAGGTTTAAGGAAAAGAAGGCTGGCAGAAAACTCTGCTAATCTTTTAACTAATCTGCACCTGGAAGAAAAGCACTCAAACTGCGTTTAAGCATTTTGAGGGAAATGAATAAAACTTAAGAAAAAACTCAAGCTATGAAAGTACGTGACAGGATAGTACTTGTATTACGCATTCATACTCGCCTTTGGGATTCGATGGTCCATGTATTCGGATAGAAGGTGAAGAAGTGGCAGTTGGGGTGATAAGTGCAGATGGTTCGACATACAAGAGCGTCTGGAGCCTTAACTCTGGCAACATCCACATCAGTAAAGGCAAGATGTTGGAAGATGTTCATGTTGCAGCCTGTGGACTCGCAGAAGGAGGAAAGTCGTCAGCATGTGACATAATGCTGAGGAGATTTTGACCATTTGTAACTCATAGCACTAAACACCTAAGTGCAAAAAATGTCTGTTAAAGCAGCCCCAAACGTGTTTGCTGTTTAAAAGAGGAAAAAAATTGATCTAATTCTGATAAGTCAGATTCATATGTCAGAGGAATTAACTAGCTCTGCCTATACTACCAGTCCCATCCCCAACCAGTGCAAACAGCCTGAGTTCCCGTCCCTGAGTTCCCAGCCTTCGGAACACAAGGAATTGTCTTACGTTTTTCTGAATTTTATGAAAAAAAATTTTATAAAAAGAGAGAAACAAAAATTTCAGATAACTAACAAGAAAACCATGTGTCCATTGATTAGAACAGGAGAAAACCCACTTTCATTGTCCTTATATGATCTTATTTTATAATTCCACTTTTCTATTATTCACTTAATTTTATAGTAGAAATCTAACAAAATTATGTTGGCTAAAATATCATAACAGCAATTATTACGGGAAGGACAATTATTACGGGAAGGACAAAAGAATACTAATTCAAGCAGTTGGATCAAAAGAGAGCTTCTCCCCATAACATAATATTAACTTTATGTAGGTGGTCTAGGAAACAAGAACTCAACTAATTAAATCTTTTTTAAAAATCAGAGACTCTTCAAGCTGGAGGAGAATTTAAGGGGTCATCTATGCCAAGCTATAATTGCATCTTCTCAAGGATATCCCTGGCAAGTTTTTCAACGTTGAATTAGACATCTATAGTGATAAGGAGCTTACTACCTCATGGCAAGACCCATTTCTTTTCTGGACTATGCTTAGGTGTTAGGAAATACTTTATTTTTTTTAAATCAAGGTAACATTGGTTTGCAGCGCTGTATATTATTTAGAGGTATAGGATTCCCCCCTTCAGGTATAGGTTACCACGACACATCCACCCACCCTACCTCCCCACCCCCACCCTCAAGTAGCCTCAAGTCTACAGTCAGATTTCTAGGGCTTGTTATTAGTTCAGTTTTATATGACTCTTTGTTTTGTTTTTCCATATTCCACAAGAAGCTCATGAAAGCTCAGGTAAAATGAGCTCAAAGCAATCCAGACCTAAACACATCATACTCAAACTGTTGAAAGCAAAAGATAAAATATGTTGAATGAAACAGTAGAAAAAGAACTTGTCATACACAAACTGCTCCCAGTAAGAGTAACCACTGATTTCTCATCAAACCAATAAAACTCAAAGACAGTAAAATGATAGATTCAAAATATTAAAAGAAAAAGACTATTAGCCAAGAATTCTATGTCCAGCAAAGCTGTCCTTTAAAAATTCTGGGGAAATTATAAATCTGAAATTAAAGGGATTGTAACTAAAAACTATTATTAGGAACTGTATACTAACAAATTAGAAAAACTAAACAAAATGGACAAATACCTAGAAATACACAAACCATTGAAACTGACTGAAAAAGAACTAGAAAATCTGAATAGTCTAATAAAATATAAAGAGACTGAATTTGTAATCAACACTTACCCACTGAGAAAAGCCAAGGCCTTTACCACTGAATTCTAATGAATGTTTAAAGAAGAATGAATACCATAGAGAAAAAGTAGCCAGACAATTACCAATTTCTGAGAGTGCACAGGGCTTCAGTGAGAATCCAGATGCCACATTATCCAGGACTTTTATACTTGTGGGTGTACCTCCAGGACTGTGCTTTAATATGCAGGTGTTCCTGAAAGCAAGAAAAGAGGTTACTCTGCTTCGTAAACATTGAGTTACATGCAGCAGTCCACTCTGAGTTGACAGGATCCATGATGGGTGTAAAATAAACAAAGTAATGAGAATAATGGCTTTGAAAATGAGTGGGTTAGGTGTTTTGCATTATTAACCAAATACACAACTTTTCCCCCTGCAGAGGAAAAGTTAGTGAGAATGGGGTGGGAACTTTATTCTTTAATACTAACCCTCATTCCACAAGAACATGCTCTCTGTGGGCCAAATGAAAATTATTTGCTTTGGAAAAATGATACCAAAATGATTAAGCAAATAAAGGGAGTAGTTAGGTCTAAAAGCCTTGTTTGTTTTTCTGCTGGGAAAAAAAAAAGGTTACAATAAACAGAAATCCTAAAAAGTACCATCAGAAAGAACAAATGCTATAAATTTTACTCACCGATATCCTGCAATAAATTTTTCTGTGGCATAGGTGAAAAATTGGCAGAGGATATGTTCGTACATCTTTTCTGGCATTCTTCAACACTTTCAACTTTAGATTCATTAATATTGACTCCTCTAATATCAATTCCTTTATAAATGTCACGGTGCAAGCTGTACAGATAAAAACACATAGAGCAAAATTCAGTATCCTTTCTAGAAGTAGATCATCCACTGTTTAACCATTTGAGTAGGGTAATTTGGAAGAATATTAGTCCATTTATGATATCTTCCATATTAACTAGGGGCTTTGGGATTTTCTTATTTGTCACTAAATTATTATACTGCACTTGAAATAAATACATTCTAATAGACGTTAGAGCACTGGCATGAAAAAAGGGCTACTGTACTTCCAAAACTATAAGGTATGTGCAGCCATAGAAGTAATATTTCATGTTAAAATTATTGAATAGTGATAAATAAGGCAGTAATGTATAAATAAGGCAGTAATGTATATAGGGATTGGCCTTCAACCTCTTGCGCTGAGAGGGTTTATCTCTGTGTTATTTCTTGGTATTCAACTACTCCTGTCTGCTTGTGAATTACATCTTAGCCCTGTCATTGACATCTATGTGTCAAATCATTTTAAAATGTGAAGTTTTTATATATGTATGATGAAACCATTTTTGTTCTTACTTTAAAATTATGTTATGTTCCACTAAGAATCTTTTCAGTTGAAAATATAGATAGGCCTCCCTGGTGGCGCAGCGGTTGAGCGCTGGGTTGCGAAGCTGCCCGCGGCTCTGCGGTGCCGGTTCGATTCCCGGCTGCTCCCCGGCTACCGGAGGAGGGTCCCACATGGCGCGCAGACCTCTCCTGCCGCCCGCTGCTCCCCTCAGAAGTGTGCTTCAGTCCTTCTGCCTGTTCTGCTCCCTGCTCTGGCTCTGGTGAACTCTCTCACCCTCCGCGCTTCTGACTGTACCCAGTGCATGTATAACAAAAACAAACAAACAAATAAATAAAAATAAATAAAAACATGCCTCTATAAAAAACAAAACAAAACAAAACAAACCTAGGAGTTCCTAGGCTAACATATTAAAAAAAAAAAGAAAATATATAGATAATTATTTTAATAGAATGTGAACCAATTTATAAATTTTGGCTCTTTAAAGACTCAATTTTGTTAGTTAGACTCTTGGTTAAGGAAACCAGCAGTTTAAACCATATTGTATTATATATAATTTTCCACACCTAAGTGGTATCCTTGAAGATGTCATAAAACCAGATTAATGATGGTAATGGTGGAAGAATCATAGTTGAGCAGAAAAGATATATTGAGGTGGGCAGAGTGGTGGATTATTCACAGCGGTCCATGTACACAAAGATTTGCAGATTATCAGATTGTCAAACTGGAGTCTCCTCCTAATTCTGTTGCATAAGAGACTATAAACTAAGGGGATACTTACAAACTAAGGCTTTTCTTTATGATTAGTGGAAAGTTATAAACTAACCTCTAAATATTTTAAACTAAAATTGGCCCTGAGTTTAGAGACTTTATGTGCCTGACAGCAATTTTTCACTTTAAGATACCTAGGGAGAGTTAGAAGGAAATATTGAATCAAACTGTGAGAAGACTAAATTTGGGTGGAAAACATAATAATAATGAGAGTATTGAGAAAAGCACCATTATGTTTTTCTTTCAATTTTACTGTGATACACAATTGAAAATAATGCTTAATGAAATTGTACTAAGTTACATTAAGATCCAGATTTGATCTATAAAATAGATCTTGGGTAAACTACGTATTGGCTACATCAGGCCCACAGCTTTATGACTAAGGACTGGTTGATATAAACTACAGGTACAAGATGTGTGTGTGTGTGTGTGTGTGTGTATGTGTGTGTTGGGGGAATGGTATTACTGGGAGAGGAAAGGTTGAAAAATGTTTAAATATCCAAAATTTGAACCCATGAAATTAACTATAGATAAATAGAGTAACTAAAGATAAAATCTCAATGATTTATGTCCTAGTCTTCATATTTCTTTCTAGAAATATTATTCTTAACAAGATTTACAGAGCCCAGTCCTTCAGTTTGGGTTTAGGAGTATACGACAGGGATTCTTAACCTTGGCACTGCAGACATTTGGGGCTAGGCCAGTTGTGGTGGTGGGGGCTTCCCTGTGCTTTGTAGAATGTTTAGCAGCATCTCTGGCCTCTACTCACCAGATGCCAGTAATATCCCCCCCACCCCCAAAATATTGCTAAGTGTCCCCTGGAAGGACATAATTACCCTGGCTGAGAACCACTAAGAGCCCTCAAGTAAAATAGGGAGGGGAACACCTAGATTCTCTTCAAGTTTCTTGGGCCTCCCTGGTGGTGCAAGGGTTAAGCACCACCACTATGAAGCAATCCACAGTCTCTGCAGCATGAGTTCAATCCCTGGCCTGCCAGTGAGCAACCCACATGGCGCAGCAGACCTCTCCTGTCTCGTCTGCTGCTCCCTCAGCAGTGTATTTCAGTTAGTCTGCCTGTTCTGTTCCCCACTCTGTCTCTGGTGAATCCTCTCACCAGAGGATCTCTGGCCTGTCACCCTGCATCCTCTCACCCTGCATCTCTGGCCTCTATCCCAGCTCTTGTATGCATAAATAAATACATCTTTTTTAAAAAAGTTTCTTACCTAGAATCAAGGTGGAATGATGTTTGGATGTTTATTCATTTTCTGTCTCCCTTACACTGTAGTGTAACCTCAGAAATAATAGAGGTTGGTGAAGCATGTTTGGCTGACAAAGACAAGAGGATG